AAATAAAACAACTAACGACTATGCTAAACACCTCCTTAATTTGCTTATTTATATTTTACCTTTATTTTAGAAAAATAATTATAATAAATATTAAATAACAAAACTTATTATAAGTATTAATTAATTAAGAATAAATATAAAATTTTATCAATTAATCATTACATGTTTATTTTATTGGATAAAAAAATCTGAACCTATTAAAATTAAACAGATGGAGTTATTATAACCAATAAGTTGAGTTTGGCTGGGTTCTAAATTTTCTTTTCCCAGATTTTGATTATGACCAACTTTCAATTAGGTGGGTTTTGGTTATTGGGGTCTAAAAATCAAAAACCCAAACTAGGGCGAGTATAACTGAATTTTTTGAATTTTTTTATTAAAAAATTAATGAATTTTAGGTTTTCGCACTCATTTTCAAAATTTTGGGCCTTTTTAAATATTATTTTTTAAATTTAATGCATTATGAAATTTTTTTAGGTTCCACCCTCCTGTTGCCATCCATTCCAACTTCAAATACTAGCTAAATTTAATTTTTTTTTTTGTTTTTTTTTTAAACCAAAACCTAACCGAATGGTTGTTTTACAAAAATTTAACTAAACTCAAAAGGCCAAAACCCTATTTACACTTTCTATTTATACTTTTTCTACTGCCAATATTTTTCAAAATTTTTTTTTTATTCACACTTTTTATTTTTTTAAACTAATAAAAAAATAATATTTTAACAAACCGTTACATAAACATTAATAACCATTAAAAAAATGTAACACATGATGTTATTAATATGATTTGAACTTTTTTTTCTTTTTATAAAATGACATAATTTTGGATGCCAAGGTATGCAGTGGGGACCATTGAAAGTTAAAAAAAAAAACTAAAACAGGGACTATGACAAGTTAAAAAAAAGACACGTGGATCTTCCTCTTCGCTCACTCTCCCCTTACCCCCACCCCCACCCCCACCCTTATGAAACCCAGATCACAGTAGCAAAACCGATTTACCCATTCGTTATTCCTCTCAATTTCACTTTTCTCTATCTGTATATCAACCTGATCATGGCGCAATTTGAAACCCTAGATTTATCTTCACCTTCTTCTTCTTCGTCAGATCCGTAGCTGTCACGGAGCTTGTCGTCCGATCGGCTTAACTCGCAAGCTCTGGAGTTTGTGCCGACACAGCCGGCCGCTACTCAGTGGCAGCAACAGCAGAAGATTTAATTCCCTGTTTTAGTTTTTTCCTTCTGCATCTTCCACCCATCTTTCTCCGCGAACTGGAACATCTTCTCCTTCTGAATCGGACTAAACATCGTCCTGAATCGCTTTTTAGAATTCAGTCTAGTGGTTGTTATCCTTCCAGGTGTCGCCGATGCCGATGCCTCTGGAGTACCAGGCGCCGATTCCGCCATTATCCTTTTCTAAATACTTTCTTTTATGGATAATTAGACTCCTAATAAACTGTTACCTAAAACCAAATTAAAGTATTGGCAACAAGTCCAGTTAAATAACAAATTTAACGAATATATGGCTGATGAAGTTCTTGGTCAAAATTAAGACGGCGCCTTGTTGGATTTGGCTGAGAACGAAACTGTTGAGTGGTGCGTGGCTTTTCAAAAAAACAAAAAATAACAAAAAGGAAAAAAATAAAGAAAACCATGGAAGAAGGATGCACAGAGGGCGAACCTCATAACAAAAACTAAAAGATGCTTTTTTTATGGCTTTTGTTAAGAGAAAGCTTAAAAAGCACTAAAACAGAAAAAATAAATCAAATATCATCTATAAAGAGGAAGCTTAACGAGCACTAAATTAGAAAAAATAGGTCAAATATCATCGATAAACACCAACTAGTAAGGTTAAAATGGCAAGATTGCCTTAAGTTACAGGAAACGTTGAAAGAAATATCATCTTGGATTTTGCCATCAAAACCTTAAATCAAGAAATACCACAATTTTTTTCAAAGGATGGTGGGAAGAAGGCTGATTTTGAAACCCAAAATTCTTCAAAAACCAACAAAAAAAAAAAGCTAATGGGTTTTTATGTTTTCATTTTAAATTATTAAATTTTAATTTAAAATATGATTTTTTTAAGTTCATTTTATTCGATTTTTCTATTTAAATAATTAGAATTTATCACAAATACTCTAATAAAAAAAATAAGTTAAATAGCATTTTTTTTTCTCCTTGACCAATAGAAATGTTAACTTGCCCATTTCAATTCTATTTAAACGCTATTAGATTATCTTCCAAACTTATCCTCTTCACTAATATATAAAGAACGAGTTGAACCCTAATTCTAATTACATCAACTAAGAAGAGGCTAACAAAGTTCGAGAGAGGATTAAACAACAACAGGTATGCTAGACATATTCCGTTAAGTTTTTAAGATTGTAGCCAACCATTTATCAATTTAACAATAAAATAAATCATGCATTTATAGAAAAAATGATTTTAGGTCACCTGAATGACAAATCTTCCATGTAGTTGACCTCTCCTTATAATTCTTTTTTTTCTAAAACCAACATTGTTGACTCTAGTGAGGACTTCTGCTCCCAAATAAGGCTCCTTTTGTTCATCCCTTTTGTTTTTCCTCTATGATTTTGAATTCAGAGAGTTCGATGGTGATTGATCTATGGGTTTAGAGTATTTTCTAGATTTAGGTTCAAGGGATTATAGAGGGGTGGATATTAAAATGGGATTTGGGGGATTTAATTTAAAGTGGTGACTGATGAGGCTCGCCGACTAGGTGAGGATTGCACAAATTTTGGAAAAGAGGAAGAAAGCAACCAGCCAAGAGGGCATTGGAGAGGCCAGTGGGTTAGAGAGGCAAATTTTCGGATGGTTTTTTTGGTTGATTTTAAGAGGGGAATCAGTTAGGGCTGAGTGAGAAGGATTAGAGGGAGAAGGGAAAGGCAATATTTCTTTTTTTTTTTAAAGGGAAACAGTTGGGGTTGGAGAAGGAATACCACAAAAAAAAAAAAGAGTAGGGTACCAAGTTTTTTATAATAGAAAGAAGGGTTAGAAAAAAAACATTGCCTTATGGGAAAAGAGAGGATTGAATGCAAACAAGTAGTGGAAAGTTCTTGATGGGGGAAGAATTTTGGTAATTATTTGTATCATTTTTATATATTCATTTGCTATTCTTTTATAATAATTTATTTCTTTTTTCTATAGGAAAAACTTCCAACTGTAGGAGTGGAAAATGCTGAAGAGATTTCCTCAGCTCCTATTTTGCTTATAGAACATCTTAGACAGGGGTTAGAATGACTCAAAGGAGATATGCCCAATGTCTTGGGATGGGAGGACTTTCGAATTGCTATATGGAGCAAGAATTAATTAAAGCACTTGAAGAACAGGTCACAAAATGTGTGGATGATTTGGAGAAGAGGATTCAAATTTGGGTGAGACTATAAAAATGCAAGACAATTTAATTAACTAGTTACACAATTTGATTGAAGATATGCAAAATCAAGTTAATGAATACAAAAATGCAAGAAGCTGAAATGAAAATGTTTCTGGGATTAAACTATTTGAATCACAACTCCAACAGATTACAACTTTTGTAATACAAGGGTCAAAATGATATTAGTCTCATTTTCAGTTAGGGTTTATTTTGTTGTTTCTATTTTTCAGATTTATTTTAGTTGGAACAAACAAAACTTAGTTATTATTAATTTTATTTAATAATATTTTTATTTTGAATGCATTTTTATTTATTCAAATATTTAATTATTATTTTATAATTGAATCCCAAAAAAATTTTAAATTCAACATGTTTAAATTTATGGATATGATTTTATATTTTTAATTATTTTAAAAGCAATTTTAATTGGAATTATTTAATAAATTATTATTTAATTCAAAAAAATGTTTATTCAATTATTATACTTAATTTCTAGTGACTAATTTTGTAAGAGGCTATTTTATACTTGTTATTTTAGTAACGAAATCATTAAATACTAGTGTTTATTGAATTTTCAAAAATACCCCTCTTTTATTTTTTGGGATATGTTTTTTTAAGATTAAAAATTCCATCACACATTTAATTTGTGACCTTTTTGTTCCGTCATTAATTATAACAATTGTAACAAGTTTTTTTTGTCACAAATAATCCTAATTGTGATTAACATGGTAGTATTTGTTTCATTTTTTTCGATCATGAATAATTCTAGTTTTGATTAAAAGGAAACATCCACTACTAGAAAACTGGGCAAAAACGACAAATACATATTCAACAGCCAAGTAGCTGTCGAATAAAATGACATATTCGACAGGAATGGTGTCGAATAAAGTTGATTGTCGATGATAATCGATTTTTTGCCACATATTCGATAGAAAACTTATTCGACAGAATAATTGTCAAATATATATAATCGACAGCCTGTTGGCTGTCGATTATGTTTCTTATATATTTGACAGCATTGCTGTCGAATGTATGGGAAACATCGTCGTTTCCCCTGTATATTTAACAGTAATGCTGACGAATATACTCGTCATTAACCCTCCCGTCCCCCCTTCTTTCCCCCATTTCTTCTTCTTCCTCTGCGGCAGATTTGGTTCATTTTCTCCGGCCCTGTTCTTGCCGGTGCCACCGGATTCTGGCTTGTTGCCATCGAGCCCCCTGCTGTGTGATCATCTCTAAGCCGGTGAGTTGGCCCCTGCACAGATCTGGTGCTTTTTTTTTTTTTTTGTTTTGTTTCCTTTGATTTACATTCGGGTATTTGCAGATTTCTTTGTAGATCCGTGCATTTTGGTGCAAGATCCATCACCTCCAAG